CAGAATGACCCACCCCATAATCCAGGAGGAAGCCGTTAAAGACCTGCTACATCACCTGGACATTCACAAGCCTATGGGGCCGGATGGGATCCACCTGAGAGTGCTGAGGGAGCCAGTGAAGGAGCTTGTTGGGAACTCTCCATCATTTATCAGCAGTTCTGGTTAACAGGGGAGGTCGTAGACAACTGGACGCTTGTCATGTGACACACATCTACAAGAAGAGCCAGGGATCTGGGCAACTCCAGGCCTGTTCAGCCTGGCCTCGGTACCAGGTTAGGTTATGGAATGGTTCATCCTGAGTGCACATGCAGCACAACCAAGTGATCAGGCCCAGCCAGCAACAGCTCACAAAAGGCAGGTCCTGCTTGGCCAGCCTGATCTCTTCACTTTGGTCAAAACAACCTCAAGTCAACGCTCCAGGCTTGGGGAGGAGTGGCTGGAAATTGCCTGGCAGAAAAGGACCTGGGAGTGCTAGTGGACAGATGGCTGAACATGAGCCAGCAGTGTGCTCATGTGGCCAAGAAGGCCAACAGCATCCTGGCATGCATCAAAAATAGTCTGTCCAGCAGGAGTAGGGAAGTGATCGTGACCCTGGACTCAGCACTGCTGAGGCCACAGCTTGAGTACTGTCTTCAGGTTTGGGTGTCATAGTATAAAGAAGACACTGAGGTGCTGGAGTGAGTCTGGAGAAGAGCAATGAGGCTAGTGAAGGACCTGGGGAACATATCTTATGAGGAGCAGCTGAGGGAACTGGGATTGTTTACTCTGGAGAAGAGGAGGCTGAGGGGAGACCTTATCACTCTCTACAACTACCTGAAAGGAGGTTGGAGTGAGGTGGGTGTTGGTCTCTTCTCCCAAGTAACTAGCAATAGAGGAAATGAGCTTAAATTGTGCCAGGGGAGGTTTGCATCGCATATTAGGAAGAATTCTTTCCTGAAAGAGTGGTGAGGCATTGGACCAGGCTGCCCAGGGAGGTTGTGGAGTCACCATCCCTGGAGATGTTCAAAAAATGTGTAGACATGGCACTTTGGGACATGGTTTACTAGTCATGGTAGGGTTGGTTTGATGGACAGACTTGATGATCTTGGAAGTCTCTCCCAACCTTTGTGATTCTATGATTCTAAGAACCACCCCATTCACACCCCCCACCTCCATGCCAGATCTGTGCCTGAAGCCATGCCCAGCATGGGAGAGGCTGGAAACGAAAAGCAAAGGAAGCTGCTTGGCTCTTTAGGCAGGTTTTGAACCTAGAAAGGTTTTAAACATTGCATCTTCCCAGTGTGCTCCTACGATGGTACAAGAGGCATGCAGGCAAACATGAATCACAACTGCTTGCTCCCTACAGACCCATTATGAGACACACGTGCCTGACCAAGACGTCATGGTAGGTGCTTTCTGTATACAGGGCAGATAAGATGAAAGACCTCAAGGGAGATGCACATCTCTGTCTGGAGTGACAGCTTTACTTAATCATCCAGCCTGCTGAAATAGCTGAGAGAGAAAAAAACGTGATGCGGTTGTCACTTGAAAAGCGACGACGCTTCTCAATATTAGCAGCACATGCAGGCTGCTCTTTGGAAATCATCTAAATAGGTGGCAGTTTCAAAAATATGAAACCTTGAGCAAAACCATGAACGAGAAAAGGATGGCTAACTCATTCCTATCATTGCCACTTATGCATTAATCGCTGAGCTGCAGCCCACGTGCACAGGGCTCACTTTTTAATGGGCTGTGAGAGTGCATTAGGGATGGCTCCCTGCCATCTGTGCTGGGAATCCTCTTGGACACATATCTCGCAGTAATCTCACAGGAGAGACCCATGCTTGGGCCAATCCATGTGCCTACAAAGGGAGTCAGGACCTCTGTCTGCCTGCTGACAACAGAGGTGTGTGGGGACTGCAAGAGGGTGACAGGGGAACTAGTCCTGTATCCGGAGCCTGAGTCCACTGCATCCCACGCAGACCATCAAGTACCAGGGACTGGGAGAGAAGAAGCATGCTGGTGTCACCAGCCAAGACTAGCTGATCTGCCTCCTCTTGTGCACAAACTGTTTTCTTTCTGTATTTCCAAACCTGATTTCAAAACTTCAGAGGAAAATTACATCAGTCTAAAAATGCCAGACTGACTGCCAGTGCCAATTCTCTTTCTCAATATTTTAAACTGGGGCGAGAGGAAAGGGGACAAACTATTTTGGAGAAAACCACATTCTTTTCAGGAATCAATCCCTTTGAAAGGCCAAACCAGAGGTAGCTTCTGCTGCCAAAAGCTCCCACGCACAGAAGAGGTGGTGCGCCCCACACCCTGCTGCCTGCAGTACTTCTTCAGTCTTGAATTTAGCATAGCTTTTTTGGGACAGACAAAAGCCAAACCAACAAAACAGAGCCTGGCATTTCTCTGCAGTGCTGGGTTAGTGAATACCAGCCAGCAGGACTCCAGCAGCCAGAGCATCCCACAGCATGCAATTTTTTCATTTTCAGCAGCCAGCAGCTCTTGTAGCAGGATTTCTCCTACTGCTGCAGTTGGCTTGTGTCACTACCTTCAGTGACTCAAACTCATTACACCAGCTTTCATGAAAATATAATCATACCATCAGAAAACCTGTGTGATGGAAAGGATGAGGCTTCAGAGCTGCGTCTCTTTGTAGTAATTTCAGGGGGAGAATGAGCAGGCTGAGGTTCCTGACACCCCGTGTGCCTTTTCTGCTCTAATTTCAGAGAAGACAGCTGAAGCTGAGGCTCTTTTAGAGATACTGGGCATCTTTGGGCATAACCAGGCATAGACCACTCCACCAGCACACCTCCACTGCTTGCCTCAGAGGATATTTTTCAGAGTCACCTTAAGAAAACAGATATGCACTTTCCATGCTTGGTAGCTAGTCCCATTTACAAGGTCCCTCTCTACAGCTGCTTTATTTCTAGCATGGACAAATTTATGATAACCCCTGGGAGTGCCAGAAGAGCACCTTACTGGGAAACATGTTCAATGCTACAGCTCCAGCAGACAGGCCTAGTTCTCCTCCTGAATGTGTGGTAGAACCAGCCAAAGACCATACACTCACCACTCCTCGCTATGGATAGAGGCTTGAGTCAACCTCTTGTTGACAAACAGGAGAGCATACAGATGCCATTTCTACACCACACAGTGAATGAAACACTCACAGCTTGACCCATCAGTAGCTCCCTTCACTGCGGCTACACCAAGCTAAACGTTGAGACTGAAGCAGAAGATTTACCCACTTGTCCTTAGCATGAGATCCATTTGTCACAGGTCTACCGTTTCCTATATTGGACCTTTCAGTACAGGGCTGGAAGTGATAACCATGCAAAAAGGTCACTCTTGGCCCCATGCACGGGAAGGCAGCTACATGGATAACTCTCACTGCAGCTCTGGGGAGTTTGGGACATAACTCACAGACCAGGACCATTTCCCCACAGTCTACACTGATCAGCAATGTATCACCTCTCACACAACTACATTCACTGAGGTTTATGTGGATTTAACTCCGCACATGAGGGAAGATCCAATGCCAGCAATGACACACTAACACAAACCCACTAACAGCTAAACAACAGCAGAGTTACGAGCAGCAGTGTTCACAACAGGAAAACAGTAAACAGCGTTAGGGCTGTGCCACCCACTGATCTGCATTAAATAGGTGCCTTCAATAGATGTCATACTGCCATCCACTGAATATTTCCTGCCACATCCATCAGCAGCAACCCCAGCATGCCTTTCTTTCCTCTCCTGGAGATATATCTGAACAGCTTCTCCAACACTTCAACAATCCAGTCTAATTACTAGGACAGGTATCTGATGAAGCGTGATGGAATCGCACTCTCTTGGTGCTGGCTGCCAAGTCCACACATCTACACCTGGGTAGCAGGAATGAAATGCTGGAGCACCAGCTAGTGTTTTTCTGCTCCACAGTGAGCATCTGCAGGTCTCCACCCAGCTGTTGTTCTGCATACTGCACTGGGCTTCCTGGCTGTGCCTTGTCTGGAAGGAGAAGGCAAGGAGTGGCTGCAGTGATCATGCAGTACAGTCCTTCCTCACAGTCCCAAATGCCACAGGTTCACATTCCTGGAAGGGCTCCACAGAGGACAAGCACCACTGGAGAGCCCTGAATTAAATGGCAGGAAGCAAGCCATGTGGGCAGAGGGAGAGACCCTAAAACACAGAGCTTGGGGGACAAGAGAATGACAGGAAAGTCTCCAGGGCTTAGAGAAGCCATGTGACATGCCACGTTGATGTGCACAGAAGGAGAAGTACTGATGTTTTTTGCTCCTCATCACACCTCCAAATGACAGGGGACAACCACAACTCCCTGCCTGTGTCCAAGGCGACAGTTTTTTTTCAACTGCTGGGCAAAGGAAAGGCAGACAGATCCAAGCCCTGGACAAAGGAACAAACCAATCTACATGATCGCTGCCTGTACAGTGCAAATCCAAGAAGAACACAGTGTGTAATGACACCTCAGCCCTACCTTTTTGGAGAAGCAGTGACAACATATCATATCTCACCAGCCAGAGTCAAGATGCTTTAGCACCGCAGTACAGAAGAGGGATTAAATTTCCTGAAGTCACACAAAGCAATTTTCTGAGGGTAACTGTTAGAAAGTTAGGACGTTTTAACCACTGGCATTTGGAATTGAAATAAACTCTTAGAATTTTCCTTTTCTCAACAGGAGAGCTAACCATTTGCTTTCTGGTTTAGTGGGTGGATACACCAAAATGCAGAGAGGTGGAAGGATCTCTAAGTAACGCAGCGTACAAGGAAAAAGCCACAAATCCTAAAAGTATGTCCTGCTGGGAGGAAACATGCTGAAGACTACAGTAATTATAACCTATGAGACACAACCACCCCCACACACATAACTGAAGAGGCCACAGTCCAGCCCTCCACGCTGGGGACTTCCACCCATTTCAAAGGGAGGTCTGCACTGGGTCTGACTGGCTCAGGCTCCCCCCCCAGACGTTTCCCCAGGTTGAAGATCCACTTACCTGCCTGGTTTGTGGTTACATTTACAGACACAAACTGCCGGGCTCCGGGGTTCTGGTCGGACACTCCATTCACTGCCTCAATTTCAAAGGTATAGTTTGTATGAGCAAGCAGATCCACCATCATGACAGAGGTGTTTTTCAGGCCGGTTTGCTGGGGGAGGTACCTGACATGACCGCCACACGCCTCACACAGACCTGAGTGTGAGCTGCACTTCTTGCATGCAATATAATAAGACACATCTTTCCTTCCACCAGTATCAGCAGGGGGAATCCATTCCAGAAAGACACTAGTCTCGTTAACATTTGAGATGGCACTCCGAGGAGCAGAGGGGGGTCCTGGTTTGTAAAGTGAGAAAAACACATGGTAAAAACAGTATTATCAGTCATCTTGCTCTCTACTACTCACGTGCCAGAAAGTACATGGGGATCATTTGCAGCAGCACCAGAAGAACTGGGAAAATAAGGATTTGTTTTGAGCACTCCCACCTCACCTCAAGGGGTCTGTGTTGGAATGCAGCCACTTGCACTGGAGGACAAGACATGGGGCTGGCTCAAACCCAACAGGAGGAACACTCCAGCGCAGGGCACTAGCTCTGGTGCTCTCCTTGCTCTTCCTGTGAAGGGAGCTGCAAATCTTTGCTCTGCCCAAGTCACTGCTGGCTTCAGCAGAGGCCAGATTCCCCCTCCTTGCCCCACTGCCCCTGTATTACTGGCCCTAGGTCCTAAAAAAAGCCATGCTCTGGGTTACTCATGCTGCTTAGGTACTCAACTCAGATGCCAAATCTTTCCTTTGTGTGCACCCACCCCTCCTCATCAGCTATTTGGCAACAGTGAAACCTAAGCTTGGGCGTCCAAATCGCACCTAAGTGAGATGCTCAATGTAGACCAAAGCAGATGGTGATCTACACGGGCCACTGGAAAAACGGCCGTATCAGGCGACTCAAGAGCAGCCCCCTTAGTCCCTGCCAAGCTCCAGCACGGTTGGTTAGCTGCCTTGTGCTTGCTTATTTTGCCAAGCCTCCCCGCTCAGGATGCCAGCGTGGCGCTGGCAAGGCCATCCAAAGAGGGACAGCTGCTGCAGAGGCACCAGAGCTCCTGCAAAAGGCAAGCTGTTTCTCTTCATCCTGCTGGGAAAGGCCACGCCCAGGCAAGCAAAGCCCACCTGGAGACACCTTAAAGAGTGGTTTATTTGCAGAAGGTGCTGCAAGCTTTTTGTTAACAGGCTTGTGTTGGAAGATGAAGGGCAAACTGCAGATACACCCTAAAGAGCATGTGAAAGGACAAGCAAGAATCTCATGCAAGAGATCCACACATTACATACTCAGGGAATGCTGATGAACAAGGAAAAATCAGAAAATTTATCAGAGCAAGCCAGGATGGATTTTAGTCATGGCATCACCAGAAGCTATACAGCAAAGACCGGGATTTTTCCAAGGGAGGTAGAGGAAGGAAGGCAACACACTCTCCTTTGGTCTGAATGAAGCTGTCAAAACCCACGAGCAGGCAGTTCCTTGAAAAGAGCCCAACAAGTAGCTTCACCAGCTAGAAATCCATACAAATCTAACAGCCTGTCTTAGGCTGTCATCTTCTCGTTTTGTTGTGATAATTAAACTCGATTAGTTATTTAAAATAGGCACTGCTGCAAAAATTAAATTACCTTATAAACCACAAGCATTTTCTCCCATTTCCCTTTCCTATTCCCCTATTTAAGTCTATAAAATTGGTAACACTGATAAAACACTGTGATGATTTTGACTCAAGCTGTTCTGAATCAGTGAGAAACTCTCTGCCAGAGGAAATAAATAGGCCTGATATATCTTTTTTCTTCGGGGGAAAAACAGTTGAAGACAAAAGCCAAGTTAGTTTATGAAATGGCAGATCAGCTTTGTTTTGTCCTGTGATCATTTCAGTTCACTATGAACTGGGAGCAAGCCACTTGGAATCTGCACCTCAGCACACACCACCATTTAGCAAATGACACCAAGGCACAGCCCAAGTCCGGACTTGTCTTCTGCACTGTCATACCCATCCTCATATAATGGAAACTATGAAATCCATCACTGGAGCTGTGTGGAGTTATATATATTGCACTCAGAGATGTTTTCTACTGGTTAAATTACCCTATTTTTTCTTCCACTGCCCTTTTATTGCTACCTAGGAAAAAAAAATAAAGAACTCAGGCATAAGAATCACTTACTGGACAATGTGAATGGAGGATAATTTATTACGTTTTTAAAGTCACCAGAGGTTTTGACTTGCTTTGTACAGAAGAGTCAGCTGCTCTTCTTGAAGGCTTAAAAACATCAACTTTAGTGGAAGTGCTTTGAAGCTAGTGGGACTTTATAACCTATAAAATTAGCATTCTCATAAGGCCTCAGAGAAAGGTCTTTACTAGTTTACAGATATCTAACAAGACCTACTTGAAGAATCCCGATGCTGCACTTGGGTAAAACTTTGATAAATCACAGCTTGGAGAACAAAAAGGTGTTTTACCTTTGGAAGAAGGTGGCCCTAGGTCTGCTAAGAAGGTCTGGTTTAACTTCCAACCTCCTTTTTTCAAGGACAAATATATTAGTTTACTAATTTTTTAAAAAAATATATGTACTTTAATTTGCTACTTCATGCCCTAAGCAGTTAAGAGTCACTCTTTCTGCACCACAATTTACTGAGCAGAGGCAAATACTTTCTGAAGACAAACATATTGACATTTTCTTGAAGGAGAGGAAGCCTGTTGTTTACTGATGCACATATTTTAGAAATATATCCTGAGAGAGAAATTAGCCTTGAGCTACAAATATACACATGTACATACTCAAAGTTAACTGTAACTTTTTTGTGAATAAAGTATTACACTGAATACTACAAAAATCCTCAGTTTGCCCCATGTATCATACTATTAAAAATATTTGCCCAATATGTTCTGAAGAGCAATTGGGCTACTTATCAGAGATGGGAGGGAAAAAAAAAAAAGGTGTAACTGTGTTTTCAATTTAAAGAGATGTGGTGCAAGGATGTGAAGTTAGAAGAAGTAAGAAGAAATAAAGTGTCATTATTTCCTGGAAGATATATAATAATATTAACAGAATTCTTAAATGCCCACGAGGATCACACATTTTTCTTTTGTCTGAGGGCAATAGTTATTTCAGACTGCGTCACAGCACTATTCATTTCAAAATCACCAATCACTACCTCTAAAACACGCTTAAGGAACTGGAAAAATTAAATATTTTTTTTTATACATGTGCACACTGTACTTAACTGAGCAACTGACAGTGGTGTACCAGTTAGGGTTTTTTAGTGAGGGTGGGGAGACTTACATAGCTTGGGACTGAAAAACATTCACTTTAAATTAAGAAAATGTGATTTTACAGCTATACTGACTGGCAAGGAGACTTTCCAGGTGCAGACCTGAAAACAGACATTGATATATCCCCTAAAATTAACTAGATTTCAAGTTGTGGGAACCCTATGAATATCATTAACTTCTGCAGTAATAAATAATAAAAACATAGAAAAACTTGCAATGTTTTCCTACCAGTCATGACTCAAGTCTGTCTCATTTGTATTTCAGTTCACAATGAGATGTTCCCTTTGAGATGTAATGGGATTGGTTTAAAACATTAATGTTGCTACTTAGTCTTTACTGTCTCTGCCAAAATTTACTACCCCTGCAGCTGAGCTGGGACAGTACACGAGCTCTCCTCATCACCTTCAGCACAAACAGTAGCTGGATTAGGAAAAGATCCCAAGAAAGGAGGGCAAATGAGGGTGACTGAAGCACACAAAGAAGGCTCAGATGATCCACGCCGCTTTTGGTGTAGTAAGTGTGAAGGCCAGCTGAGATGTTGGCAACATCATCAACTGTTGCAGGATTCCATCCAGTTTGCAGTGTGACAGTAGCTGAGCAGTGCCTTGGTCAGCATTATAGCTCTCATCTGCTCCAGAAGCACTCGGTACCTGGCCAACCCATATCCTAGTACAGTTTCAGGCATCATGTCTGTGCTTTAATCTAGATTGTGGTAAACTTTCAAAACAGACAAACAAACAAAAAAAAAAAACCTGAAACAAAACCACCCAAATATTAAAATCCCCAAACAAACTTTTTTTTTTTTTTTTTTAAAAAAGGCATGTAAACCTCAAACATAAAAAAGAAAATCCCATGGTATTTGCAGAATCAGAAATTACAACCTTTACCTACAGAATTCAAGCTGCACCAGAAACCTGTGGAAGACAGGCACTCCAATTTAATTTCTTTTTAGCATGAGCTGGTCACCAAAGTTGCTCATGCCTCTCTGAAAACCTTGCCCCACACTCAGGTCAAAGGCATGCACAAACCTCTTCCTAGGAGATGGCAGCTCCTTCCCTGAGCTAACTCAGCAGCAGGAAAGACTGGATGTGTAGCCCTCCATCCTGGGAAGGGACAGAGAGCAATGCCACTGATCATGGGCAGGAGGCACTGTGGACACCAGCAGCCTGGCATAACTGTATTAGCCCTTGCTGTGGTTCTGCCTGCACAGAAAAGCTGATTTTCTGTGTGTTTCCAGAGCTCAGCGTATTCCTTTCCCTTCCCATTTCCCAACACCATGCTGAACCTCATCCTCTCTTATTTATTTACGTTTTTTACATCGGGCCAAAGGGCAAAATGGACATCAGGAAGCCCCGGGCTGGAAGTTTTTAACACTGTAACCCACCCTAGCTACCACTCCAAGAGACACTGGCGTATCTATTGAATAAACTGAGAACTGCTTGCGTGACTCACCCCACCAGACCACTTTGATATGACAGGGCCAGCTACTGGCACATCCCCTAAGGCTGTCTTCTCCTGCCCTGCAGCACGCCTTCCAACAACTACATGCTTCATGCTCCTTCGGCTGGTGAAAACAAATGCAGAGTTCAAGGGCCCCAATTACACTCTGAGTGCTTCCCGCAGCCAAGAAGAGACCTGTCAAGGGCAATTCCTTTGCATCTCTCCAACAGGAACAGACTTTTTCTTTCTCTTTTTGAAGGGCAAACTTGGGAAGCTAGGAAGGACACCTGTATTCACTGAGATGAAGGCAAAAAAGCCACAACCACACTGGCAAGTTGCAAGGAAACAGCATGATGGTCACCTCTGCACCATTGCCAGTGGCTCTGTGAGTGCACGGACTCAACCTATTTTTTCTCCATCGCTTAAGAACCTTAAAAGCTCTACCTGCTCCTGCTCCAGCAGCTCAGCTCCTCTTTGGTCCTTTTCAACCACTTTTGCAATGCAAAAATCACATTCAGAGCACGACAGACCCAGCCCAGCAAAAACATGTGGTCCATTCTACGCTTGGCAGGACAAGCTGGAGGCATGCAAATTATGGCCCTAAGTATCTGAAACAAACTGAACAAGAAACTTTAAAGGTACAGCTGACAGGATAGCTCAACAGATGTCAGGAAAAGGCAAAATCAGTGATTCCAATTCCACCAACTCCACCTTGGACTCCCAATCCCCCAATTTGCTTGTTATACTACCCTCTCCCTGCACCAAGGGGATAAGCTCTACATTTTTGCTGCAAGCTTGGAGAAGCATAGTTTTAAGGCTACCCTGAAGAATGCCTACCTCCAGGCAGGCTGGAAAGGTAGAGCTCTCTCCCTGCTTGCTTACCAAAACCAAGCTAGGAAATGATACTAAGCAGGAGCACATGGACTCCATGCATGCCTCCTGCCAACAAGTGCCACCCATAGCACCCACACCACGTGCATGCCCTACGCAGGTACTCCTGCATGCACCAATGTGGACAGCATGAGATGGAGCATCTGTGCACTATAAAAATGCTTCCTGGGTTTAGTGCCAGCTTTTAAAGCCTTTTGCTTCTAAAAGTCTCTTCTTGTGTAACTGGGGGTACAGTGGACAAAGCCAGTGCCATGTCAAGTGTGTCAAGACTAGTTCAGACTCCAGCCCAGAGCCTGTAAAAGCACATTAATTAGGATCATATTGTTTAGTCACAGTACAGGAATAGCTCAAAAGGATTAAAAACAACCCTATAAGCACATGCTTACTTGTACAGGCCATTGTAGGTGGGTCTGACTCCTTCCTAAAATAGTGTTCTTCACACAGGCAAGATGTGGATGCTTCATCAAGCGTGTAGCTGTGAGGGGGACATTTGCTGCAGGATGGACTGTGGGGTGAAGCTTTGAAGAACCCAGGTCTGCATACTGTGAAAAGAAGAACCACAGGCTAAGGTCTCCCATCATAAAATTAGTCTCTTCACATTTCCTTTTTAAAAAAGCAGCATATCTTCAGCTAGAAAACAAACACTCGCAAGCTATTTTGTTTGCATATTTTAAAATATTCTATGCCACTAACAGACAGTGCATATTTAAATATCTGCATGAAAAGAGAATGAGATACCATTGATTTTTACTTTTTTTTCCCCTAGCATCTCCCTTGCTAGGTATTTATTTTCATTGTTGAATGCATTAGAGGTAACATCTTTTGGGCTCTGCTTTAGAAAACATTATTGCATTTGGGTTGTTTTCTTTCTTCATTCAGTCTTAGAAAAACAGGTAAAATACATCTCATGGTTTTCACTTAAGATGTTCTACATCCAGAAATCAATGTCTCAGCAAACAAATAGCAACACAGTGGTGGAGGGAATCTCGAGATCGACAGCTTTAGACAGTGTGATAAGGCTACTTCCCCAGGGTCTCCTCCCCTGCAAACCTGTGATGAAATTTAAAGTGCTCCACATAAGACAAGACTGCTCTGGGTACAGCCTGAACCAGGCATGCTCGCCACACAGGGCATTCCTTCCAGCCTCCATATGCATGACAAGGCACGAAGGCTTGATACAAAAACCAGTTTTGTTTCTGGAAATGTAATATATGGCTAAGGATAGCTTGGGATTTATGTTTTTTTTTTAATAATTTGAAATAAATAGAGTAATATCCAGTTCCCAGCCTGCTGAAACAAGTGCTCTTTCACCTAAGCAAAGCACTCTGCAATTTACCTGCCTGCACACACTCAGCCAGGAGCAGGGACAGCCACCCCACCCACCCCAGCTTCAGGAAAAAAACAACTGGCCCAGTAATCGTACTGTTATACACAGAATTACAAACCCACTGTTTGCAAAAGGAGGAAAACGTGATTTGCCATTTGCCTCAAAAAGCAGAGACATGTTAAAGCAGCTCCAAAGTACTGCTGTTTTTTTTTTTTTTTTCCTTCAGATATGCTCTAAAATAATTCTGCCCAGTATAATTTCAACAATGCACAGGTATGCTGTGAGACTTACTGAAGTTAACTGGAAATCCCTGAGCCTTTCCATCTGCATTCAAACTTCCCCAGTTGTAATTAGCTTGTGAAGAAAATTAGCCCACAGCAAAAGCACTAATATTTTCCCATCAGGAATGTCCCAGACAATTACAGCATGATGTTCGTGTGCTAAAATTCACTCAGTGATGACAGAATTCATCTTCACCATAGACAGAACATAGGTTTTCACTAATGATGCCTTTTCCTCTGATGGACCAGCTAGGACAACTGCCTCTAAACTTGGCTCTGCTTCCTGCAGTAGCACAGAAATGCTCTTGACACTGTCCCTGTTGCACCACTAGCTTCTTCACTGAAAGTGAGACATTTGCATATCAACTCCTTAACTCCTAAAGCCAACCAGTCTTTTCAATGAAGAGCACTCATGGATTGAAAGAGGTGTGATCGAAGGCCATCCAACAGGCCTCACCAGGCCCTGCCTTCAGGCCTGCCAGACCACAAAGCTGTCACAACAATCTCCATGCAACCCTGAAGCAGTTCCCAAGCCCACCATAGACTGCCAGCTCTCCATCATGCATCTGCAGCCCCTCTATCCTATCCTACTGTGGCAGATGCTTATCACCAGCATCTTTGCTGACCTCCTCAAACTGGGCACCCTCCCACACCTTCCCCCAGCCCCCTTTTCTTCCTGGAAGACAGGCACAGAACAACTCATAGAACTGGAGGGATTTACAGGTTTTGAAAATCCAGTTTCCAAAATCGCTCATCATCCAACTAGTTCTCCATACCCAGGCTGTGAGCTCTGCATGATGTAGTTCATCTGCTTTGTGTCTATCCACCAGGACTGGTGAAGTGACCTAGGACTGGGTTTATTCTTGATGCCTGTTAGTAGACTTGACACAAGCTGCCCTCATGCTTTATGGCACATTCCTCAGTTTCTAGCACAGATTCAGTTCTTTTATTTGCTTCATAGCCACCTTCAAATGCTGCCCTACCTACAGCAAGGACTCGTTATACAATCTCTGGAAAGTCTTCTGGGAGAGCAGACCACCAAACAGCTCCTCTCTAGCCTACAATTTGTATTTCAAAGCCAAATCAAACTCCCTTGCACATAGACAATAGAGATGGGAAAATGAGAGCACAAAAATGTGCAACATAACAAGGGCAGCCCACGTCTAGTGTGTACTTGATGTAATTAGCCTTCAAAGAAGGACTTGAATTTATCTCATTATGTCCCATCAAGACAGACAGAAAATCATTACAGCACAAGAGTTTACTGTGCTTCTATTTTTTGCACAGCAGCAAATGCAAAATAAGTCAGTTTTCCTTGACAGATTTTCAACGAGGTGCAGCTTGTTAATGATGGTATGATATGTAGCTCAGCTCAAAGGGAATGTTTGGTTTTCATGAAAAAGTACAGAGCCAACAGATGTACAAGAGCCAATAACTCGTGTTTTAATGAGGGATGTGAAATAAAACTGAACTGGACCAATTTTTGTATCATCTGCAGGCTCCCATGGGTCAGGCAAGTCCCTTCTCTACCCAAGAGGTATAAAGAGGAGCATTCAAGAGCATTAAATTACACTGAAGATTTCAGCATGAGTCCTCGTAACAAACAGCCATCAGAGCAGCATGCTGTCATATCCAAGTGAAATACTCCTGTGGTTGGTTAGAGAGGAAGAATTCAGGATCTACAGAGCCATAGCATCGCTTATGTTGGAAAAGACCTTAAAGATCACTGAGTCCAACTGTGAATGCAGCACAGCCCAATCCACCACTAAACCATGTCAGTCAGCATCACACCTGTACATCTTTTAAATAACTCCAGGGATGGTGACTCCATCACTTCCCCAGGCAGCCTATTGCAGGGTTTAACAACCGTTTCTGTGAAGAAATTCTCTCTCATGTCCATTCTAAACCTCCCCTGGTACAATATGAGGTCACCTCCCCTTAAAAAAGGGAGGACAGGAAACAAAAATCAATGTAAGAATTACCCCAAGGCAAAGTCCACACCCCTGCAGCAGGTGCTTTGGGGAGGTCAGAGGGGGATTTGCAGGGTTCCCTCAGCACAGCCTTCCAGCCTCTTGTGACCAGCAGCTTGAGGACCACTCCTGATGGAAATCACGCTTGCACTACCATGCTCAGGAACCGAAGCAGATGTAGCTCTACAGGTGTTTCAGGCATACCTAGTACCTCCTATAACATTTGTCCCTGTACCTATGTTTCCTGTGTACATGACAAAGGAGAGGACAGTTGGTGAAGTGGTTCAAGTAATAACCTTCAACTAAACAGGGATGCTGTGATGAAATGGATGCTGGTGGATGAAAGCTGACCCAGGAACATCTTACGCTTCCACACTGCAGAGCAGGTATCACTGCAGCCGGATGGGCACAGCCTTGGCCGAGTGCAAAAGCCAGAAGCAGGGGCTGGGATGGGACTGTGTTGATTTTCTGCCACTGGTGGCAATATCTCAGATATTTCAGAGATTTGATTCAGAGGAGAAAAGGGCTACAAACAGCTTATCTTGCATATACCTTGAGTATACCTTAAGTTTCGGTCTTTATCTTACCATTCCTCTTCTGACAGTCAGCCTTACCATTTGTTCATGAAGTATACATGACTTTATTTAAAATTACATGGGTGTCCAGGGCTTAGTTTCTAATTAAATCTTATTTTAGTCTTATTATATTTTTATCTCAGTATTTCTAATTCAACAGCTCTTGAAAGGATACGTAAAACTAGCACAGCATGTAATGGTACTATCTCTCTTTTCAAGGGGTGGGAAGAGGAGAAATAAGATGAGTGTAAGACTCCCCATAATCTGCTGTAAGCCAGCTGAAAAGAAATGAAATAAAGTTTTAAGCTGTTGATGAGATCTGCTTCTTTCTTCCTAATATTAAAACTGATAACTCCTTAACTGATTAACAGCCACTGATGTGTGAAAATAGCCTTTAAAATTGGTTGCTAGAAAAAAAGAAAAGACAGTATTTTTAGACACAGCAATATTCCATAAACAAACTGCTGGTGTTAGGTACAAGTGGGATGTGTGTCTGTTAATAGCACATCCATTATTAACAAATTAATTTCACTCTTTTTATGTTTAGTAGCAAACACAAAATGTTGTGAGCATGAGGCATTTGTATCTGTGCAGCCTCTTGCATGTGCACTTCAGGAGGGGCCAGGGAGAGATGGCTGCAAGGAAGGACAGCAGAAAGAGCCTCTTGGGACAGCAGTGGTGTGAGTGGATCCCTCAAACCAGCAGCAACTGGATTAGAAACTGGCTTCGTACCACAAGAGCCACGCTGATAGAAACTGGCTTTTTGAAAGTGGGTGAATGGAGAAGGAATCACTGGTCCTCTTACAATGAAAACTGTCCTCTTTAAATGACACGGTGAACTTTATGTGCTAGATCAATACTAAAGACAGTGAGCATCAGGGGACTGGGGTAGTGGGAGCAGACAGAACAAGGTAATAACATCAAACAGCTGGGACTACTTGACAGATTATTTTCTGGAAGCCTTAACACCAAGTGATTTGCAGCTGCATCTTTGTAACCAACCCTGAGCTTCAGCTGAAGGCTGCATCCAGCAGGCAGGGCTCCTCTCCTCTCCAAGTTGCCCCACACCTTCCATGAACACTGACCCCAGGCAACTAGTGCTGGAAGGAAGGACAGCCTCCAAGGCTCTCCATATGAACGTGCGTGTACATGGCCATGTTGGTAAAACCGACCAATTAATAGCACTGGGAATTCTAGTTTAGTCCCTGGAGAGAGAAAAGCTAGAAACCATGACCCTGTAAGCCTTGAAACCCCAGGAGATAGGGAGAAGGTCCAACCTATTACTCCCTTTGCACTCTCATGATGCTGGAAGGATAAGCTCACAGTACTTAAGAGCTTAGGATCAGCAAAGTAACCTTTCATATATTTCAGAAAATAAAGCTCAAACAG